TATAGACAGTGAGAAGGGAAGTGAGAAATCACCCCCAGGGAGGGATGGCTATGCTATAATTCCTTCTACTCTATTCTCTTCCCAGGATCTTGGGCTTGCACGCATGAGCACGTAATGTAATTTTCAAACCACCAGTCCAAACTCAAGCCCAGGGAGCAGATAAGGATTCTATTCAAATAGTAGAATTTTTTTATTTCATTTTGTTTATTCATTCAATCATTTTCATTTGACCAGAGAAAGACAGACACACAGAAAGAAGGAAAGTGAAAAAAGCAAGCAACCAGGTCTGGGACTCAAACTGTGGTCAGCCATATGGGAATGTCCAGTGTCTTAACCATCATGCCACCTGTTGCCCCCCTTCATTATGAAAAATAGGACATTTAACCTACATATATGTGGCACTTGAAATGAAGCCATAATTTGGACAACAGTGTTGTGAGAGAAAGAAACGGAATTATTATAAACACTGAGCTCCTGAGCTGGTAAGAGAACTAACGGATTGAATCACTTGATAGGATTGAGATAATTCTTTATTACTGGACCAGCAAGTGAAGTTTTGTGGAGAATTGGGATTGAGGTTAAATTTGTGGTGAGCATTAGAAGATTTTTCACTGAGAGACATAGGGATCTTCTGTAAGATGACCCTAGAGTAGGTATGATCAGTTTGCATTTTCAATGGTTCAAAGCAAATGGTCCCTGCCCCCTGACACTCGCCATGGTTCTGTCCTGCTGGGCAGTTCATCAGTTATGATTTCTTGTATAATACAGTCCTGCAATGGTTACAATGTTCCCATGCTATATCTTGTCAAGAATATTTATTGCATTTGAATTCACCATCAGCCTATCATCCTGATATTCCACTGGCCATATGGGGGGCATCATCTTGGAACTAGTTGCTACGGTGACTGCAAGCCCAGAAGAGTTTCTGAGTACAATACAAGATTTCAAAGTCATCTCTAATGCTTATTCAAGGAGCCTAAGCATCATCCTGCTTTGGGAATGTGCTTGGCAACTTCCTACTTTTTATACCTCTCCAAGGGAAAAGCATATTGCCTTGTACTTAAAGGCCTGGTACAGATGTCTTCTGCATGATATCTCACTGATCTGGACAAGGACTCTAAAAGACTTGCCAAGCTGATGTAAAAAATGAATGGAATGAGAACAGCAAAGAATTGATGAGGGGACTGAGCACACTAACATTTTGGAGGTAAGTAGAGAAGAATGGGACATGAAAGAAATGACAAGAATCAATCAGCAAAAGTACTAGAATTTCCAGGAGAACTTAGTATTTCGTTAACTCAACAAATACAAATTGATACCTGCCATGTGTTGTGCATAATCTACATGCTCAGTACTAGCATTGAACAAAATGGAACAAGTTCTGCCTCGTGGAGCTCTATTGGATTAGTTAGTGCTGAGGGGTGAATTAGCACATAAGTGATTCTGAGAAAGAGAAGGAATGAAGGAAATCAACAATCTTGATAAGGATAGAGTTAATGAATTGATGGGGCAAGAGCAGCCTGAATAGAGGCATGAGCTTAAAAGAAAAAAATAGAAAAGAATGTGCAGTAGCTCTGAAGCAAAGAAAAGATCTCTGTTTTGACTAGAGGAAACTAGAAAATAGGGCTTTTAAAGAGTTTAAAGTATCCAACATTATATAAAAAAGGTTATACATCATGACCAGGAAGGCTTTACCCCAGGGATGCAAGGTTGGTTCAACATACATAAAACCATAAATGTAATACACCATGTTAACAGAAAGAAAGAGAAAAACCATATGATCATATCAATTGATGCAGAAAAAGCATTTGATAAGATACAACATCCCTTCATGATCAAGACTCTCAGCAAAATCGGTATAGGAAGGTCATTTCTCAACAAAATAAAAGCTATCTATGAAAAACTCATAGCTAACATCATCCTGAATGGAGAAATGCTGAAAGCTTTTCCACTAAAAACTGGTACGAGACAAGGATGCCCACTTTCTACACTCCTTTGCAATATAGTACTGCAATTCCTCACTAATGCAATCAATAAAGAGAATAAAACTGAATATCCACCTGCAGAAGGATGAATCTGAACCCCTCCATTTCACCATTGACAAAAATCAACTCAAAGTGGATCAAAGATCTAAACCTTAAGACCTCAAACTATAAAACTGCTTCTGGAAAACAGTGGACACTCTGGGAGACATTGGGGTAGGCAAAGACTTCTTAAATAAGACCTCCAAAGCACAGTCAAAAATTCCCAAATTAGACAAGTGGGATTATATCAGATTAAGAAGTTTCTGCATGGCAAGTGACAGTTATTAGTGTGAATCAACAGCCCTCAGAATGGGAAAATACTTTTCTAAACTACGTGTCAGATAAGGAACTGATAACCCGAATACACAAGGAAATCAAGCCACAGTCCCCAAAAAAGATCATCAATGCTATTAAAAGATGGGAGAATGAGTTGAGAAAACTGTTCTCTAAGGAAAACATACAAATAGCCAAAAGGCATATGAAAAATGCTCAACATACTTCATTGTAAGGGAGATGCAGATCAAAACCACAGTGAGATACCAGGTAATCCCAGTCACAATGACTAAGATTAAAAAAACCAAAAAATGATAAGTGCTGGTGGGCGTGGTGAAAGGGGAACTCTTCTACACTGCTGGTGGGAGTGTAAATTGTCCAGCCACTGTGGAGAACAATTTGAAGATTCCTCAAAGATCTACAAATAGAACTACCATATGATCCAGCAATCCCACTCCTTGGTATCTACCCAAAGGACAGAATTCTTAATCAGAAAAGTGCTTGCACATCAATGTTTATTGTGGCATTATTCACAATTGCTAAAACATAGTAGGCAACTCAAATGCCCATGAACAGATAAATGGATTGAAAAAGTGTGGCACATATACTCTATGGAATACTACTCATTGATAAAAAAAAAAAAACAAGACCCTGGCTTTTGACAAAAAGTGGATGAATATGGGAGATTTACTGCTGAGGCAAGCCAGGCTATGAAAGTGAGACATTGCATGTCTCCACTTAATATACACCAAGTGTCCACACTCTAGCCAACTGAATGACTAAAGGATATAGAAACATAGTAAATGGTTGTGAATACCAGATACAGTGTGGGAAGAGAATGGGTGAAGGAGGGAGACTGAGGAAGGACGTTAAGGAGAAAAATAGACAAGTCATTTATGGGACAAACAAATGGGTTATTATTATCTATTGAAGATAACTTTATAGTATTGTTAACTGGACTGATGAAAAATGTGCACATGTTGGAATATTCATTTTGCAGGCTAAGTAACATGTGATTGAAAGTATAAAAGAAATTGAAATTTAAAAATTAAAGAACAGAGACCAGCAGTTGGTATAATGACTATGTCGCTGGACTCCTGTGTAGCTGACTACAGTTTGAGTCCTGGACCTTGTGACTTGAACTCATGTTGGGTGCATATGCATGCGTGCCCAAGATCCTGAGAGGAGAATGGAAGAGAAGGGATTGTGGCATGGCCATCCCCCCCCCTGGGGAGTGATTTCTTGCTTTCTGTCTCTCTGGCAAGTGCACATGCCCTATAGCAAAAAACCTCTCAAAAAATTTTTTTTAAAACAAAAAAAGAGATTGAAGTAAAACAAGGTTATATGAGTGGACTATAAAACATTCTAATGGATGTCCTTACGGGAAGAGGACATTAAACTACTGGGTTGTCCGAGAAAGTCATGATGTATTTTTCTATGTTTTCTATTCAAAAATGCATCGTGACTTTCCTGACCACCCAATATAAACAGGTACAACGAGAAGAACACGTAAAGATAGGGAGGAACAGCCAGGCACAAGGAGAGAGTCTCAGAAGGAACAGCCAAGCCCACATGTTGATCCTGGATGTCCAGTTTCAAACTGTGAAGAAAGGCCTTTCTGGTGTTGAAAAGCCACCTAATCCCTGGTACTTCCTTCAGGTTCCTGGACAAACCAGACTGGGAGGGTGAATCTAAAAGTATTGGCTGGCTTTTTTTCTTTTTGGTTTTGCTTTTTAATTCAAAGCTGCCTGAGGTATCTAAACCAAGAGACTCTAGCTCCATATTTAACAAGCAGGACGGGTCCTATTACATCCTGCAGATGATCAACGGTTTCCAGAAGTTACTGGCCATGACAGTCATCCCTAGTGACAGCCGGGTATGCCCCTTCTTCCTGTGTCCTAAATTCCACAGGTTATTCAATGCAGTTCTTCGTGGACCACACAGTTAGAAACAGTGCAGGAGGAACTTAAACTGGAGAAATTTCTACCAGTTCATAAAGGAGATGAGATTGAATTATCCCTTATAAAAACCACATACTACCTATGGGTATTAAATATAAATAACACAAAATAAACAAGAGAAAATATTTTTGAGAGGTTTTATAGGGCATGTGTGCTTGCCAGAAAGACATAGAAAGATAGAGAGACAGCGAGAAATCACCCCTCAGGGGAAATGGCCATGTCACGATCCCTTCTCCTCCATTCTCCTCTAGGGATCTTGGGCATGCACGTACACGTGGCCAGCGTGAGTTTAAGCCATGGGATCCAAGACTTGAACTGTGGTCAACTACATGGGAGTCCAGCAACATAACCATCACACCAACTGTTGGTCCCAAGAGAAAATCTTTTAGGATTAAAATTGTGAGACTTAACCTGAAATTCCATCTCTGTTTCTCCAATGTGGCAGAGGTGGTCAAGAAACTTCTGAGGACCCAGGAGGGAGGTGGCAGGAGGTGCTCCTATTCAGCACCTCTGTCCCTTGAAGGGACTTCAACCCCTTGTCCATAGAGGAATGTGGGGGCGCACTGCTCTTGCGCCCCATGCAGGGCTCTTCCTGCAGCACGGAGGTTGCGGGGATGAGCAGGCAACCCATTGAGCCTTCAAGCCTCTCATGTGTGCAGTCTGACCTTGGGATTTGTGGTGCCTAGTAGTTAGTTAGTTAAGGAAAATGGGAAGGGAGCACCAAGTTCAGGAGAGAACTCACTTGGCTTGGGTGCTGTTGCCAGGGGAAATGTGTTCAGTGGCCTCACCCACACCTGGTGTTCTTCTCCTCCTGCCTTGGGCTCCTCAGGAAGTCCTGCCAGGGGAAATGTGTTCAGTGACCTCGCCCACACCTGGTGTTCTCCTCCTGCCTTGGGCTCCTCAGGAAGTCACTGCTTTTAGAAGCTGAAAAATCAATCCGGAGATGACAGCCATCCTGTTTTGGGTTGAGAAGTGGAGAACTGAGAATAAAAGTGCACTCTTTTTAAAAAAAATTTTTTTTTTTTTTTTGCCAAATTAACTGTTGAGGTTTTGTACTTTTCTGAGAAGGCAGGAAAACGGAGTTTGTGGGAAGAGGAGGCAGGAAGGTCCCTCTGGGCTCTTGATGCTTGGCCTTGTAGCCTGGTGGCTATTTCCACCTTCCCAGTTGACTTGGGGGTCCTTGGCCCCACACTTAAAAGAGAGCAGCAGGTGGGAATGCAAGCAAAGCACTGTAGGCTGCCAGTGCTTCCACAGCCTGTCTGGAGGGACCTTTATCTATGGAGGGTGTTGTGATTTGTTTTTAATTTTTTTGTATGCTCATTTATTTTCTGTTGTTTTTTTTTTTTAAAAAAAAACAAACTTTTTTTTCATGTACTGTAACATTTAGATGTCTTAATAAGACCCAAAACATCTAATATAACAGAGGCCCAATGGTGGGAAGTACACACTAGGAACCAGTCAGGAGCCCTTGGAGCAAATGAGGCAGGCCGTCTGGGGAGAGGGTGACAGCTCAGTCGAGACCAGGGTACTGGGTTCTATTCCATAGTTTATAGAGACTGAGGGTCATTAAGCAGGCTCCCAACTGTGTTTGGGCTCAACTGATCCGATGGCAGGAAAAGAGAGAAAGAGAGAGATTGAGGTGGGATGCTCGAGGTAGGGATCACTATGGAGTCTGCCGAAGTGTGAACACATGTCGCAGTGCTGCCCTCTGGGCTTGTGTAGATGCATATTTCAAAGGCTTGGTTAGGGACTTCAGTCCTTGACTTCTGCCTCATCTGTGATGTGGGCAACAGGGAGAGAAAAAACTCAAGCTCTCTGGTCCAGACCCACAGTGCCTTCTGCGGTGTTCTCCAATTTCATGTCCAGCTTCAGGGACCCAGATACACCAACTGTTAAGAGCAGCTAAGAAAGTGTCTTCTCCAGCTAGGTTGCCATGAACTCAGCTTGAATATTAGAATAATACAATATTTATAACTGAAAGGTCTGGTATAACTTTGAAAATATAAGCCAAGAGTGAGTGACACCATATACACTGAGGCAGTGATTTAAACTACAGTTGACTATGCGAAATCAAACTTCCTTAACCACTAGGCTATAGGGCCTTCCAATAAACTTTTTGTTAATAATGTTAATAAAATAATTAGAAAACACAAATTAACAAAGGAAAATATAACAATTCCTTTCCTTAAAATTTTGCTCTTCTGTTGACTTGAGAGAATTTTCCACAGGATGGTTCCACACATTTCTAAAACTATTTCTCCTCCACACCACATAGACTTTTATGTCTGCCCTATATGGTGGAACACATTCATATTCTGATTTGAGTTTTGGTCTTCCTGAGGAAGAGATTGTGGACACTCAAGATTGGGCATTTAAACAAGGTTCTCTGTTAGGTTACAGGTAGACTGAGAACAGATGAAAAGAGTTGGTTGAGATGGTGGGAAAGTGGAGTGAAAATTATTCTAAGCAGAGTTTACAAAATATCAAGATCAAATTGAAATTGTAGTGTTAGTCAGTGATTTCTCTCTGAGGAAAATGGAGTATTGGGCCAGCAGATGATGTCGTGCTTATGTGCCTGGACTCCCACATGGCCGACTGCAATTAGAATCATGGACCCGGTAACTTGAAAATCACTCTGTGTGTGTGTTTGTGTGTGCATGCTCAGGATCTTCAGAGGAGAATGAAGAAGGAATTGCGGTGTGACCATTTTCCCTGAGGGGGTGATTTCTCACTTTCCCTCTCACTGTCTCTCTCTCTCTCTCTAGGGTGACCACATGTGCACTAAATCAAAAACCTCTTAAAAAAAAAGAGAAAAAAAAAAGAAAATACACTATTGAATACATAGAAGCCTATGTGATTGGATATTGGGATATAAAACCCATTCTCTTTTAAAATTGTAATAATTATGGGAATTGATCAAATCTGCCTCTCAAGGTCGTCTACAGTTCTGGTAAGTGCCATGGAGGTGAATCCACATCAAGCATTGAATGTTATCAGTGTTAGGTTGAGCATCTCAGCAGTCACTTTTGTACCCATAATCCATATGAGTAACAAAGAATTCTGCTAGAAATAACAGTGACTTAAGATATTAGACATGATAGATACATTATAGCCCAAATGATAGTTTGTTTTACAATCCAATTCAGAGTTTTCTTTTAAAATAAAATGATCTCCAAAAATTTAAAGGTTCATCCTCATTTTGATTGTCTTTGTTATTGATGTGGGTTATATGTCTATATTGCTTTAAAAAGAAACCCCAACATAAATTGGCTTAAAAAGTTAAATTATTTCATATCACAGTGCACATTTTCTTGTACTGTGGAGCAGTTTTGCCTGACACATTCCTGGGTACTTCTCTGCCTGGGTGTCCATGTGTTCATAGAGAATGATAGAGCAGATTTGAGAATGTCAGAGACAAAGCATGAGTCTGCAACAATGCAGAAAATAGAACAATGTAATGTTTAGTAGGGAATACCTACTATAAAGGAAGAGCACAGTCTGCTTTATAATAGCAGAGCTCCGAAGTAAGGTTCTTGTTTTCACATGGTATTTGTTTTCTATAACTTGGTGACTATCAGTGATTTGCCTCACTTTTTTCTTTCTTGGTATTTTCACCTATGAAACAAGAATAAAAATGGCACCAGTTTCATACTATTGGCATGAGTTTTTATGAGTGAGTTTAGTGAGTTTTCAATGGTCATTTTGCTATTTTTATCATTAGAGGAAACTCAGATAAGAATGGCTGTTCAGCTGAACTGAAGATTTTTCACTGGCCATGCATGTACGACTTCTCCCCACCATGCAACTAGTAAACTAACCTCCCATTTTATTAAATCTATGTTCTGAATAGGAGCTGGTCTATCTTGACCTTGCTTCCATAGCCACGCTGCTTATCCAAAGACGACTATTTCCAAGCTGTGCAATCACAGCAACAGAGACTGATTTACAAGGAAGGATGAGGGCATGATCCCAGTCAAAATAATCAGAGTCCTTCGTATGGTTAGAGAATTACCTTTTGTTACTCTTTATAATGATGATATATCTTGTGACACAAGAAGAAGAAATAGAAAAAATAAATTGGGTTTCCATTGTTTACAATGAGTAGAGAAGGGTTTTGATCATCAAATATATTTGAATTATTTGTCAGGATTGTTTATTTTGTATTGTCAGGATCAGTTACATTTAGTGAAATGTCCCCTGATGGTTATGTTAGCACCACTGCTGCTGCCTGCAGACATGGAGTGGGGACAAAGACCACCTGCTAGCATCATCTCAACTTATTCCTTAACATATTTCCAGAAATGTTGGAAAGCAATATGCTTTATTTTTTAAAAAACATTTCTAACAAGTGTTTGTCCTATTCCATCACCCAAAATTTAAGTTTTCTTAAGAAATAAGTTCTGGGTGCAGCCATGGTGGCACATGAGATTAAGAAGCTGCTGTTGTGTAGGTTGAGGACATGTGGGAGACCATGGATGGGTTCCCAGCCCACCTTGAAATGCTAGCCATGGTGGTGTACACCTGCAATGCCAGCTACTTAAAGGGTGAGGCAGGAGGATCAGTACGTATTCAGATCAAATTAAAAGAAAAAAAAAAAAAAAAGGAAGACTAGGAGAAAGGAATTTCCTGAAGGCTATTCCTGAAGGCTGTTCAAAGTCAGCCTAATAGATGAGCAGGTAACTCCAGAGAGCTGACCTATAAATGTGCCAGGTGCAGGTGTGTGAGCGCCCTAGATTCTGATGGGATGAAGAAATGGAGAAGGGATTGCAGTGTGACCAAACCCCATGAGGAGATGCTTTCTCTTTCTCTCTCTCTGGTGAACACTTGTACCCTCAGGCAGTTACAAAGAATAGAGAAAGAAAAATAGTTCTTAATATGAGGAGTAAAAACAAACTGAATCTTAAATACAAATGAATTGATATGCTATATTGTGTGCTTGGGGGTGTAAGGGAGTACCATCCTGCTGTCCTTAATAGGCTTTGTTTAGCTATCTTTGCTTAAAAGTTAAAAATAACTTAAAGAATATTTTAAAAAGTAGAAAAATGGGACAATAATAAATAATAATAAAAATTTTAAAAATGGAACAATGAAAAGGAATATTAAAATACAATGGAAAAGAGAAAAAGACGAGTGTTGTATGTGATACATTCAAAACACTAGGAAGTCTTGTTTTACTCCTATAGTAAGATACATCTTCAGAGATCTTCCTTACATAACTGGCTGGCTTTAACATGGAGAGGAATTTCCACATTATGAGTTTCCACTTCCCATTGTAGAAGACAGATGACTCTGACAACTGTCAATCCCAAACTCCCACGGGGAGGACCGTGGTTTAGATACTGCTGTGCAGAACCACTTTTCTGAGACTTAGATGATGATGTGAGCAACTCAAAGATTCAACTCTTCAAGGTATGTGTGTGTGTGTGTGTGTGTGTGTGTGTGTGTGTGTGTGTAGGTGTGTGTGTCCACTGGAAATGTGAGGATGGAACATCCATTTACTCAAAGTCGACAACCAAAAATCTTGCATTTCATTTGGAGATCACTGTATCAGGTTTTAAGAGCTGTGATGTTTTCTGTTGAGATGTCTTCATTGTATGCTTAAGGTGGAATAGCTGTAGAGTCTGACTCCCTCCCCATCCTGGAGGGGCAACATGCACTCTAAAAGTTTTAATACAAATTAAATTGCTTTTATTTAAATTATTGAACCAATTCTGTGACTTGCCATAAAGAGTCCTGAACATAGAAATTTTGAAACAATTCTGGTAGATTCATGTTTTTTTTTTGTGTTAATGAATTATTCTTAATTTTTCCTTCTGTCATCTGGTTCTTCCTAGCAAAACTTTTAACCTGTGTGACTTCAAAGATAAGATGTCATAACAGAGGGGCACAAAGAAAAACGGAGTTAAGTTTCAGGTTTTGTGTATTATAGTCATGGTCCTTAGGTGAATGAGAAGGAATATATTTGAGTTTAAGTTAAAGTTTCCCTTTCTGTGATTATAGAAGTTATTTTCTAAACTGAAAGAATGGAAAAGACTAAAAAGAGAAATTAGAAAAGGGGAAGAGAGAGATTTAGGAGACCTGACACTGGGCCATATTTATCTAGAGAGCTACCCACACAGAGAAGATAGGACCTCCACTCATCCGTGCCTTCTGTGCAGGGGACCACCTCCTCTGCCAGTGCCCAGGAGTCCCTTGAGTGCCCACAGATCATGCAGACTCCAACCAGCTAAAACTGTAAACTGCCTGCACCCTGACGTCAAGTTAAGTGTCTCAGATCTCCCTTATTTGCAGCAGCATGTGATCGAAAGACAACTTAGCAGAAGTTCAGCTGTGCCTCATGGTTTTGTTCAATCTTATCAGATTTTTCCTGTTTGCAACACTCCAATCCTATCCTAGGACTAAAGTAAATCCTTGAGTAAGAGTGTGGGGCTGAGAATATCTAGAAGGGTGGTCTATATGAGGACAAAAATGTCTACTCCATACAGAACCTGCATGATCTCTCCCATTGTAAAATGTATCACAACTACACAATTTAATATCTCTCTAGAATTATGAGCATGATTACAAATAAAGCATCCAGTTAACATCATATTAATCAATAATATGAACCAGTATTAATAGAATCACTTAGGATTTAGGCCATTACCTTCACATTTAACCTTCACTTTGCAAATTTTATCGCTCAACCAGTATGCAAGCACCATGACTTCAAGTTTAGTTTAGTAGCAATTGTTTGTTATTTTGAAGTTGTTCGATCAATTTGTTCCTTGGGGAGAGGGAGTTGGGTACAGAAATTTTATTTTTTGGATTTTTAGAGTATGTTACATGTTGATTTGTACATCCTTCGGCTATACCGCAAGTCTCTATGAAGTTCATTCATCCGTTTCCCTATCTCCTCGAGAATTTGGGTCTGTTCCTACAAAAGAGAGAAAAGATTCAATTTGCATCATTTAACATTTGTCCTATAATTTTCCAAGCTAGTTCCCTTTTTGGAAATTACATTACTCTCTCAAGAGCTTCTGACACTGATTCTTGAAATCCTTTCTTTCCTCAACCTTCATTATCTCTCTCTTGCTGTGCCTATGTCTGCCATTGATCTCTCTGGGCTTTCTTTCACTTCAGAAATGCTGTTGCCTTATAGTATTTAAAATATCAGAGACCTAGAAATCCATTCTGAGGCCCCATTGCTTGCATGCAACACAATCATTCAGGAATAATTACCCCCCTTTTTTTTTCTTTTGCTTCATTTCTGCTCTATTTAATATGGAATAGATGTTTGAATAGGAAATTTAGTACAAGATTCCAAAATTTTAATGGCAGCAGTAACAGAAGTTGAGGCAATCAGGACTTGAAGTAACTCATAGAGTATTTTGAGCCGACATCCAGATTCAAGATAGATGCGGAGTAGAGACCAGGTAGGTTCTGAAAGCCTGGACCCTAATTAATGTGCTTAAGGAGACAGATGGTTGACAAGTCTCCCTATTCATTAGGGAATGTCTAGAGGTGAAGTCATACCATGAATTGCATAAACAAAATCACTGTGTGTCCCCGTAAAAATGGCATACTAAATGTTTTATCAGATAGTCTGATTATAGAAAAGTTACTTATTAAAATTACTTATCTCTTATGAAGTTACAGTTTCCCCATTTAGCAAATGAGATAATAATTTTGTTTCATTAGATAACAATTTATTCAAAGAATGCCTGTAAAACACTTGTGTGGTACCTAGAATGAATAGATACTATTTATTAGAGATATCATATAAAAGGTGTCTATGGAATTTTATTCTGCAAATAAGCAACCTTTAATAACCACAGATGAGAGCTGGGGGTGGGGGTGTGGCACAGTGGCTAAAGTGTTGACATCCCACAGGGTTGATAATGGTTTGAGTCCCAGACCTGGATGCTTGAAATTCACACTAGATGTGTGTTCATACATGCCCAAAATCCCAAGAGGAGAATGAAGGGATTGCAGTGTGGCCATCACCCCTAGGAGGTGATTTCTTGCTTTCTGTCTCTCTCTCTCTCTCTATTGAGCGCATTCACCTTATTGCAAAAATCTCTAAAAATAAATAAATAAATAAATAACCTACCAACCAGAGGTGGCCTGAGGAATGAAAAATGTAGAAGAGTATTTTGAGCTATACAGTTCCTTTTGGTGGTGGTAGTGGGGTGAGGAATGAGGTTTTCACCTTTACCCTTTGCTTTTATGTAGTGCACTGGTAAAGAAAATTGAGATGAGACAATTACCTTAAGTTTAAGATCTAAGATCCTCTGTTGCTCTGCCATTAACTGGGCCTTCTCCTTCTCCATCCTCTCAGTCAATTGTTTCAGATGTTCCTGAAAACTCTTATCTTTATGTTTGATCATTTCCTCATTTTTCTTTTTTGTTTCCAACAACATTTTATTTGCAGCTTCTGCAGATTCAGACTTTATGCATTGCACTGCAGAAGAAAAATAAGCAGAAAATATAAAGATTAAATTGTACACATTCCTTTAGCCTTTCAGCATTTAGTTTCATATCACTCAGAAATTCTTCTTGTGGTAATTTTTGCACTAGTAAACAAAAGACAGATGATCATGCATACCAATTAAGAAAAAACTACCATAAAATTAAGGATTATACTTGCTATTTTTTCTCTACAATAATGATTCTAGATGAGCCAATGATACTAACATTTCTGGAAATTTCTAGCTACTTAAATGTTTTCACTATTCTCACCTTCAATCTCTTTTTCCTTTTCTGTGAGTGACTGGTCATTCTGCACAAGTCCAACTGCCAAATCCTCCTTGGACTGCAAGTATTCTATCAGCATCTCTTCTGCCTAATTGCACAGAGGAAGTTAGAGTGAAAAAACAGAGTGAGGTTAAAGCAGTACTCTGCAATGTATCTGTTAATGCAATTTACTTTTGTCACCCATGTAACAATTTATTTCATAATTCAAACAAAATTGTAACTTTAGTAGGCTGGAAACCCAACTCTCAATTTCCCCTCAGACCTGTTCTTTCCCAACACCCTCATTTTAGTAATTAGTAGGTTTTGTTCAACCTACTGTATCGTTGACATCTGCTCTCGCTTTACCATATACAATTATCAACTATTCATGTTGGCTTTAGCTTCAGAATATTACCAGAAACCATATTCAGAAAACATCACTTGCACCTGCTTCACCTAAATGCCCTAGTCCATGGCTACATTTTCATGATTGGTTCCTGTGCTTCCACTCTTACTCTCCAACAGTCCATCTTCCTTGGTGGTCAAATTTTGCTGTATTATTTTAAGAAAATCACAATATTCTCTCCTTAAAATTCATTTTTTTAGGAGAGTGAGAAAAAGAGGGAGAACACCCCTAAGGCAGTCTAGACACTGCAATCCACTCCTACTTCAGTCACACATGGATCGCAACCATTAAATTCTGGCCAATAACATAATCAAAAGTGTTGTATGGCACTTAGAAATCTCTTCAAAGGGATTGAAAGAGAGCTATGAGTTGACTCAGCTTTTTTACTCTTCTGTTTCTCTCTATCTTTCTCCTCGCTCTCTCTCTCTCTCCTACCTATTATGTGGAAATAAATGCTGAAAGTCCAGTGGCCAACTTGCAGGGTAAATTGATGTTGAAGAGGGAGGCCATGTACAAAGGTGCAGAAGCAGAAAAAAAGGGGCCTGGGACTGAGACAAACATGTAGTTATCACAACAGCACTGGGCCTTCTCTTCTTGACTTTTTGTAGAAGGAAAGAAACTTTTGGAGCCAGACAGTGACATGGTGGTGGTGCAATGCTCTGTGATGCTGACCTACACGAGAAGGTTCTGTATTTTTGTCTGGAAACTTCCCTGGACACTCTGGTTTCATTTGTGCTCAAGAAATGGGGTTGGCTGGGGGTGGATTGCAGAGTGAGGGCTCAGTTGTTCTTGCTCCCTTTCTCTCTTTCTCTATCATTTTCAGTCATGTAAGAAATAAATCATTTTAAAGTCACTGTTGCTTTTCATTTTAATTAATACATAGCCAAACAACGTAAACTGATATAATCTGAGTAGACAACGTAGAATTAGTAAGTACACAGATAGAGCTACCTGGATTTGTATTCAAACTGTACCTCTCATCACCCATATGGTACTAGGTAAGTCATTATTTTTGTCTCAGCCTCATTTTATTTTTTTAACAAAATTAAGATATGAATATTGGGACATTGGAAAAGTCGTGATGCATTTTTGCATAGAAAAATACGTCATGACTTCTCTGATGACCCAATAGTATATTCACAGGGTTGTTTTCAGAATTGAATGAATACATCTCTCAGCCCTGTTACTAGAACACAATAAGCACCATATAAATGGTAACTATTAATACTGTGATTTGTTTATAAACTACAGCGTAAGTTATTTATTGTCTGTAAGTATTTTGACAGATCTTGTTTTTGTTTTGCTTTGTTTTAATTGCTCTATTCCCAGTAATTTGACAAGTGCATGGCCCACATCTAAGATGAAATAAACCATTATTGAATGAATGTATGAATAAATTAACTTCACAACCATTTTTCAAGGTCACTAGCTATACCTCCAAGGACGAACCTGCTATCTATAACAGGATGGGCTCTCTTATTATGTGAGTGAGTAGATGGATGCATGAAGGACACAGGCACTGCATAACTAATCACAGTACTATAATTTCTTCCTTGTTTGCTGAAGGGTTTGAAAGAGTCTCCTCAGCCAGAACCCCGACATGTTACCCAGTACTTAGCTTACCTGTATTCCCTTTTTGGGTACCTGATAGTATTTTTCCTTCAGCTCCTTTATCTTCTGAATAAAGAGATGGTAACCTCCTGGTTTAGAGAATGTCCCCTGCTTCACATCTTCTTCAAGAGGACCAAAAATATCCTGAAGTAAAGCCTTGCAACAGTCTGATGATACTTTCATATTCTGGTTATAGAAGTCATCGCGCTTTGCTTCCAGCTGGTCCTGGGAGGTGAGCAAATAGCACAGGTGGTACAGTAAAGCCATGAAGAGAATGTTGACCACTCATAAAATACTGGGGAATTCTGCAGAGACTGAGGCATCTGTTAATAAATATGGCCACACTCCTCCCCTGACTGTGAGATCCTAGAGTATCCATGAGAAGAGTGATTGTAGCAGAAATTTATTTATTTCTGTTTGAGACTCCTTGAAGCTCTGTTTCCCTGATTCTCAAATTTATTTATTTCTGTTTGAGACTCCTTGAAGCTCTGTTTCCCTGATTCTCTTGCCTGTAAGAACAGTTTTTCGACTCCTTGAAGCTCTGTTTCCCTGATTCTCACTCTTTCACATGAGTCTTTTATTTTCTCAAGTCTGTGATTTCAGGAGTTCTAGTGCAGAGCACGAACATCAAAGTCAAATAGGTCTGCTTGAATCTGTGGACCCACCATGCTGTGGTTTTGTGACACTCACCCTTTGGGAACTGAGGACTCTGTCTGTGGAAGTGGGGATAATACCTATCTCACAGATTTCTTGTCAGAATTATGAGGTGATATAAAACATTAAGTCCAGTGTCTTTTCTGGAAATGTCAGTAAGAAGTATTTGGTTATTTAATATGTTATTTAGTATGAGAATATTTTGTGTATTTTTTCAATATAAAGCTAATGATAGTAATGAAGATCAAATATAGAAAGGGAAGTCCATATGTGGAAAGTCTAATAGAGCAGCACATTTATGTACATTAAATCACCCAAGATAACTGAAATGGCAAGCTCTTTTCTTCCTAAGTTTGAAAGGATGCCAATTACCTGTGGCACCAGAACCTCTGAATGCAACAATGTCTCACTTGTAAATTCCCACCTTGTTAGCCAGGGGAAGGAGTGTCACTTGTCTGGTGGCTATTTGTCATGCAACAATCCCTTCTTTTTGGGGTAGGTGGTGGGGGAAGTTTTTTGCCATAGGGCACCTGTGCTCGCCAGAAGCCCAACATGAGTTAAAGCCACTGGGCCTGGGATTCAAACCACTGTCAACTACATAAGGAGTCTAGCGATGTAGCTATTATGCCAACTGCTGGTCCCAACAATCCTTGCTTGACTATAAATAATGTAGACTTTAAGAACATTCTCAAAAGAAAAAAAATACAATTAATTTCTCTTTCTTACTTTTCTGAAATTTCTTCCATTGGTTTACATAAAATTAATTATTAGAATTACTTTTTAAAAATGTGATCCCTATAAATTTTTAGCAGGGAACATAAAACTAATGTTATTTCCTTTAACTTAAAAGAAAAAAAAATAGCTTTATAAAGGCAATTGTACAAGTTCCTTATTTGCTTAAAATATGACATCCAGAGGGAGAAGTTGATAATAATGGATTTTTGTGTAAAATTTGGCTAGTTTGGGACCAGCAGTTAGCATAATGGCTATGTCGCTGGATTCCCACGTAGTCAACCGTGGTTCGTGTCCCAGACCCGGTGGCTTAAAACTCACGCCTGGCGCATGTGCGTGTGTGCCCAAGATCCCTAGAGGAGAATGGAGGAGAAGGGATTGTGGCATGACCATCCCCCCTGGGGGGTGATTTCTCGCTTTCTGTCTCTCTCTGTCTGGCCAGCGCACACGCCCTATAGCGAAAACCTCTAAAAAAAAAAAAAAAAAACTTGGCTAGTTATGGTGCCTCTTTAAAAAAATAGATCTAAGACTTGGCATAATCTACCCTTTCTATAATGAGTACAAATATGCATACATATGTGAATGCTATTGTTTTGTAGTCTAGAAAGAGTTACTCTTCTCATGAAGGACCCATACTTTTCTCCCTCTTATTTTTTTATTATTATTATTTATACATTCAATTGTTATACATCATTTAGATTGTAAAGAGAATTTACAAGCATGAAATACACCTCAGACCAGTCCAGTTGAGAATACTATACACGTCATCATCGACAAGTGATAAACTACATCTGTGTCCCATAAATGTCTTACCTCTCTTTCTCTTTTTTTTTTTTTTTAGAGGTTTTTGCTATAGGGCATGTGTGCTCGCCAGAAAGACAGAGAGAGACAGAGAGATAGAAAGCAAGAAATCACCCCCCAGGGGGGATGGCCACGCCGCAATCCTTTCTCCTCCATTCTCATCTTGGGATCTTGGGCAC